GAGGTGACACTTTTAGAGTCAAACAACATTAATCTCATCCTGTATTGCAGTAATAAACACTAATAGAGAGGCTTAATGAAATAAAAAGGGTCTAATCTGACGAAGCCTTCAATTTGTGTTTGAAATAGCAGACCACGTGCACAACAGTAGACATAAAACTGCAATCTTGTGTATATGTGCAGTTCAAGTCTTACGTCTGGACATCGCTGGAGGCTTCTCTCGCTCTTTACAACACTCTCTTGTTGCATCAAACAACATATTATCTCATTAAGGGTGCCAACGTATGACCTTTAAAGCACCATTGCTTCTATTCTGTTAAAAAGTTTTGTCCTTTGTCTTGTCGCTTTAATGCAGAACATGCAAATTATTCACAAAAACATGCAGCTCAGTCAGAAGAACGTTCAGGGCTTCGATGCTGTAGCAATGCAAAAAATAAAAAATAAATAAATAAAGGAAATCAATGGGATTTTGGTGAAACGGTTGAAAAACGCTCAGGCATATTTTACTGTAGAAATATTTAAAGTCGAACGAGTCGCAGAAAGTTGGACTTTACGTATCTGAACTGGCATTGTGACATCTTTAGCAATTTTCACACAGTGACAGTTTAAGTAGTGAGATTTTCACAGATTGTTTCCATGGAACATTCAAATGACCTGCATCAACAATTTACAAATATTTAGCAAACAAACTCTTGTTACTCCAGTAACACTTCTTGGTACAGTATATGTAGACTTTTTACATTAGATTGTAAGTATTTTTGTCTTCTCTCACCCAGTGTGTCTCTCACTGCTGTAGGACATATAGTTTTCTGTTAAAACCAGCCATAAGGCAGAGATTGCACACCTAAGCTTTCACATATCCAGCTCTATTATAGCTCAAAATATGGTGCTTAGTTTTCAAAACTGGAAGTGAAGGGTGTTTTGAACTTGTCATATCGCTTACATAAAACACCGTAGACACATAAAAATAGACACGCGTGATATTAGGCCTGTCACGATAACAAATTTTGCTGGGCGATTAATTGTTTCAGAAATTATTGCGATAAACGATAATATTGTTTGAAATTTGATAATAATTAGTAATTATTGCCAAATTTAAGAAGAAATGTTGGTTAATTTTTGTGTGTAGTACCTTTTTTGACCACTGGATGACAGTATAAGACTGAACCAAAGGATGGATAGTGAGGGAGTGAGCAGCGTCTCTTTAAGATAAATGGGAGGGAGGCCCCTTGACGTGACATGGGCTGTCTCTCGTTCCTGGTTTCGGTTCTCGGACGCTAGGTGTGGTTTGAGCTCTTTAGCATAGCATTTGTCACACAAACCTTTTAATAAAAAAATCAGTAAACAAGTTCTCAGCTTATTTTTTCAGAGAAAAACAACTTTTTAGACGAAGGCACGTGTTTCAACTGTGAATTTTGGAGCTTCGACAAGACGGAGTTTTTTTCCTGAGGTCGGCCTGTTAGCTTAGCTTCTCAGATAAGCCGCTTTTAATCATCCAAAAACACGATTTTGGACGATTAAAACAGATTTTAAAGAGAAAGGGAGGGGTCAGTGAAGAGCACCGGAGTTGAGCCTTTTGTCATCCAGTGTCTTCAATAGAAAGAGAGAGACACGAAGAAACGATCAAGCCGATAAATGAAAATCAGGTCGATAATTTTCATTTATAATGCGATTAATTGATTTATTGTTTATCGTGACAGGCCTACTCGTGATCAACAAAGTCTTCTGATGCTCACGGTTCAAGAATTTGTAAGACACGACTTGTATTTTTACCACTGTCCATTTGAGGCTTACTTTTTACTCTGTTTCTGTCTGCCTCTGATTAACTCCGCAGTCCGGGAGGAAGACACTGCTGTGTGGTTACCGCAGTAACCATTATAAGCCACTGTCAGCAGTTTAAACGTTCCTTTTGGTTCTGGTTCTTTTAACGCTGCTTATACAGTCCACACATTCACAGGTTGCCATTTTGTTCTTTTTGATTAGATTACAAAGTTATGCCGAATTTTTGGAAAACCTTCCAAGTTTTGTCAGAAAATATCCAGTCTCCAGAGTATTATCTCACAATGCATCACTCCAAGCAGCTCTTGTGACATTGCACCAGCAGTAGAGCTGCCCTGTTCGCTCCACCTGCCCTCTAATAGTGCTTCGGCGAAGTAAATTGGAGAAAAAGTGAGCAGTGGAGTATCCAGTCTCCCACCTTTCTGCAGCTACTATAGTAGCCTTTGCTGCAGTGTTGGGGAGCAGGCTGAGAGTAGGGGAAAGATTAGATTGTAGATGACGCGGAGGTGCTGATTATGTGTTTAAATGCCCACTCTTCACCCAAAATCCTTGTATTCAGCAATATTTTCTGCACTAGCTAATCAGGTCTACAACACCCAGGTTCTATTTTACGGAGGCCTTGTGTCTATTGTTTTAGTAGAAGTGCTTGCTGAGCCGTGTGATCTAGGACAGGGCATGAGAGAGACGATTAATAACTCCAAGCAGGAAGGAGCTGTCTTCTGGGCCAAAAACTCCTTTAAAAACTGTGCCACTTCTTTACTGGAGATGGGTGAAGCAGTGGCAGCAACAAATAAGGACGGTCAGGTTAGTTTTTAGTGGGTTTGTTCACGTAACGTTCTGGATTCCCCCTCACACTATCTGAAGGCACTAAATCTCCTTCCTATAATAATGGCCCTGTCACTCTTTTTGTCATATTTCTATACAGGCAAATATATTGCCACCAGCCTCTTGTTGCCATAAATAACTCATCTATTTATTGTACAACTTCAGCCCCGTATGAAGAGCAACAAATTTAAGTGTCCTGGTTCCTGTAAAAGATCAAACAGCTGGAATAAACTTTATATATGTTTTCTTGATACTCATTGCCACCTAGTTTTAAAGTGCTCTGGGAATCTTGCTGTCTCAGGGGGTTAAAGTCAACCAGTTGTTACACCACTGAGCCACAAAGCGTGGTAGTGTCTAAAGATAGACTGATTTCAAATGTTCAAAATCTAGTTGAAATAAGTAAATTTAAAGAATGAGCGCAACCAACATAATTGTTTTGTTTTGTTTTTTACATCAGCACTTGGTAGAGACACACCAAGCTGTTTTCTAAGGGTGCTTTTCTAGTCTGAATACTTTTATTAACACACTTATCACTCAACCGTTCAACTCAGAGTGTCCTCTGTTTGGATCTGTTTCTGCCATTGCAGTTTATTTTGAAATGATTAAAAAGTGGAAACCATGGTCAAAGGTGAGCTCATCATTACTGTCAGAATATGTGCACTCCCCTCCACATCGATACATTGGAACAATGAAAAAGAAAAAATAGATATATAATTATCAATGTATAGCAGAATTAGCAGCAGCAGATGTTTATGTACCTGAAGCCTCTTGAAGGGATTTTTCTCTTCAGCACTTGGGATGAGTAAATAATAATGAATAAATAAATGAGTAATAAAAATAAACACAATACAAAAAACAAAAAGCAATAAATAAAACTCAAGAAAACTGAGAGCATAAAGCACGATGTTGGACTGCTGGAAGAGGACAAAACCAGAGCACGAATCGATTGTGGCTGACAAAGAATGACAACAGGGAACAGGTGTAAGGGGCGGGGCTAAAGAGCAGAGGCCAACTATGGAAAAGTAAAATTAAGAAATTAGCTAAAATAAGCAGAGTTTAGCAACAAAAAAAGCTGAAAAGTAGCTGAAAAAGCAGAAAGAATTTTAAACTACCAGAAGGAAGCGGAAAGGGATGAAATGAGCTAAAAAAAAAAAAAATGGAATTAGCTGAAAAAGCTAAAATTTGCATAAAACAGCTAAATAATAACTGAAATAGCAGGAAAAGCTGAAACTAGCACAAAAAATTGAAAGGAGTATAACAAGCTGAACTTAGCAGAAAAAAAAGTTAATCAGGCTGAAAGTAGTAGAAATTACCATGACAAATTTGAATATATCTGAAAACAGCTGAAATTAGCTAAAGAATGCTAACAAGGTAGCTGAATTTTTTTTTTACCAAGCTTAAATTAGCAGAATAAAGCAGAAAAAACACGTTTGCTCAATTAGGCTGAAAGAAGTAAAAATGAGCACAAAGAGTAGAAATTATCTGAATAAACTTAAATTAGCAACAACAACAACAAATCAGCTGAAAAGTAGCTAAAGGAAAAAAAGACAGAAAGAAGCTTAAGTTACCAGTAGGAAGTGCACATTTTTGCTGAATTAGGCTGGAAAAAATTTAAATGGGTGCAAAAAAAATGTGGAATTAGCCAGAAAAGCTAAAATTAGCATAAAACAGCTAAATAGTAGCTGAAATAGCACAAAAAGCTGAAACTTGCAGAAATAAACTAAAAGGACCATAACAAGCTGAAATGAGCAGAAAGAAGTTAGAAGAAGCTAAAAATGTTGTAGTCAGCAGAGAGAATTTAAAACAATCACAAAACAGCTGAAATTAGCTGAAAGTAGCTGGAAAGAAGTTTTAATTTGCACAAGGAAGCTGAAAGAAGCTGAAGCAGAACAAAATGTGAAAGGAACAGTAAAAGGTTGTGAACAGATCTAAAGATTTGAAGGATGTAAAATGAGCTCAATTCATTTTCTATGAGGAAAAAAGTGGCAGAAAAGGCTAAATATTTCAAAAAGCTAAAGTTGCATCAATACCAAAAGCCATAGCACCCTGAACGAGCTGAATGTTTTGATATCTGTTGAAATGGCACAGAAATTGTGGAACGAGAAAGATGCTTCAAAAAGTACAGAATATAAATGGATCACAATAGTGGGAATGCTTCATAAAATCTCCTGATGCATGCTCAATAATCCAGCTAGAAAAATCTACAAAAGTTAAGTCTGGTCCTCTGGACATTAAAAAAAAAAAAAAAAAAAAAAAAACAGAGGACTAGACTTAACTTTTTTTAGAAATGCTCCATAAACATTCACACAATAAACAACAAAAGCACAAACTAACTCCGGATCCTGACAGCATGTCAGTTTTAGACGTTAAAAGCAGTTAATCCTGTTTCCTCGTTACCTTTGGAGAAGACGGTGGTCCTGGGAGTAACATCCAGGTCCAAGGAGGAAGTGAAGGGAAAGGCCCACACCTGGGACAGCCCGCTGAGGAGCATCAGCTCGAACAGGAAGCACCGAACTGATCTCCTGTCTCTCATGTTTAACGCAATAACCCGGTGCCAACACCACGCTTAAGTTGTTGGGTACAAAAAAATGAAAAGTAAAAATTGTAGGCGTCTGTAGAGCGTGTATCTTCAGGCCCAGAAGTAGACAAATCCTCCACAGTCACTGTAAAAATAAAAAATTTAAATTAACGAGTATAACTCAAATGTGGAATCATCTATTGTTTAATTGAAGTGAAGCTAAAGTTCAGTCATTTGAGAACAAAATGACGCTATCACTTGAAGAGAAAACACGATTCTCACTAAGTTCGTGAGAGCAGAGGGTGAGAATTAAAGCAGGAGCATTAACTATTTCATACGAAAGCAAATCAGTGCATTGTCTGAGCAAATGTTCTTAGTCAGCTTTTACTTGGTAGCTACCATCGTACAAAGTCGTAACTACATTTTCTTCATGCAGGCTTTAACCGTACCCACTGATTAAAAAACACCAAGACTGTAGTGAAGAGATGTCACGCGTGAACCGATAATTCATTACCGGTATGCATCATCGCGCTTTGATTACAGCCAATTAGCCGAGCAGCTCGTTACGCAACACACAGTTTATAAGAAATTGATAATTGGATAACGAGCCTGCGTGGTTTGACGCCGCAATACAAAACTTCATCTTTTAATTAGCTGCGTGCGGAGTGGAGCAGCGTGATGGATAATCTGGAGATTAGGCCCCGAGCCGTCAGAACAATCCCCGCCTGGCTGGTTGTTCTCTGGTTCTGATCAAAGGGTCAACCCCGTGGATCTTGTCGTGCCGCGGAGCGACGCCCGGTCGGTTCTCGGCGGCTGCAAACGCTAATCGGTTGCAGCGTGAAGCACAGAGAGGCTGGTGACCTTCCTGCTCGCAGCATTAATCTCTGAAACTAACCGGTAAATGTAAGAACCAGCTCATTGTGGGTTTAGGCAAATATTCCCAGCTGTCATGAATTAAAATTAAATTAAAAGTCCAAGATTTCTTGAAGGGATGTGTATCGCTCGCTGCCTTTAAGGCCAGAGTTTAAACTAGGATGATCCTGGGATGAGGAGAGTTGGAGTTGTGGCTGTTTTGGTCAAACCTTGAAAATGATGCGTACAATCTCATGCGACAACTGTTGAGATTGACTCTCAGCTACTATCACACAAATTTTTAGGTCAAAAGTCGTAAAATCAACTGAGCTACACCCGTCAATGTGTTTGCTGCGTTCAGTTAGCTGCGGTGGCCATCTCGAATTGACTTGACTCCAAAAGTTAATCAGATGTAAAGGAACGTCCAATAATTATTTCCTGCATGTTTCATTAAAACTCCTTCTGTGATTTGTGAGATATTTTGCTAACAGACGAGCTTAGCTCAATAGCTGTAAAACTGGTTGAGTTGGAGCCATATCTGTGTTTTCTAAGTTCTATTAGTTGCAGCAGCCATCTTGAATGCTGACTCCAAAACATGTTCACTCTTTACTTAAATAGTTTAATTAAAATGCATCCTCTGGTTCATGAGGTACGTTGCATTATGCTAACACAACAAGCACACATGCAAAAACATTATCACCCTTTCACGTTTAACTGTGAAAGATAAACTCCCATTTGATGTTTTAATGACGTCAAGAGTCCCAAACTCAGATTTAAGGTGAGCTGTAATGACTGTAACAAAGACTCGCATTATTTGCAAACCCTGTAAACCTTTTACTCACATCTTGTGCTTTTCTATAAAAAACATTATCACCCTGAAAAATAATTTCCATTCAGACGAAAACGTTGCTTGGGATACATCTGACCAGGCAGCGCCACTTCCCAGTGGCAAAACATTCTTGCTGTGATTCAAACTCTTAAAAACCTTTAAACTCAAGAGCCGCGGGTCAAATCTGGTCCCCCAAAATGATCATTTAAATGTAAAATATTGTAACTTTTCTAATTTTGTCTATAAAAAACTGATAAATACATCATTTAGTATAGACTCCTCTTATCAGCTGGCTAACTCTGAAGCCAGAAAAAACAGAATGTCAAATTTTAAGTAAAAAATATGTAAAAAATTAACTGAGTTATGGCCATTAATGTCTCAGTATTGGTTAAAGGCAAATGACTGTGGCAGCCATCTTGATTAGGGTTGACTCCAAAGCTTAATATATAAGCTGTCGTAATATCAAAATGTTCAGCTCATTTGGAAGACTGGCGCTACTTATTTACTTTTCAAAATATTTAATTTGTATACAAACACTTTCCCTGGGGAAAAACATTGTTCTCTTTGAAATTCAAAATCTTATTTCTAACCCACAAAGCCCTCAACAACCTAGCTCCATGACCTTATTGTTCCATATTTTCCTAACAGAGCACTTCGCTCTCAGACTGCAGGTTTACTCGTGGTTCCTAGAGTTTCCAAAAGCAGATTGGAAGGAAGATCTTTCAGTTCTCAGGCTCCTCTCTTGTGGAACCAACTTCCAGTTTCTGTCCGTGAGGCCGACACATTGTCCAGTTTTAAGACTTTATTTTTTGATAAATCCTATAGTTAGGGTTGGCTTGTTATTCTGCTATTGGTTAAGACTACAAGGGGACAAATTGACCACATTTCCTTAAATGAGTTGTTAAAATCGTTTTCATTTGATACTATTTTTATCTTAACATGTGATTCTTGACCTGCCATTGTGTATCTATTCCTCTCAAACCCAGCCGGTCGAAGCAGACGGCCGCTTGTCCTGAGCCTGGTTCTGCTAAAGGTTTCCTCCTCATGAGGGAGTTTTTCCTCTCCACTGTCGCCTTCATGCTCGCTCAAGATGACAGTTCTGTGATGGAGTTAAACTCAAAGCGGTCCGCTCCTCAGATAAATAATGTTATTAACTCACTTTTTATATTTATGAATGTTTCTGTTCTGTGCCCTGAGACGACTTCTGTAATTTATAAAAAAAACTGAATTGAATTCTGTTTCAGTCTACCTGCTCGACTTCTGTTTACCTGTGCTACTTTTAATTTGTAGCAACAATTCTGCAACGTGCTGCTTTTAGAGCACATTTGCTACTTTTAGCTTTTAGCTTGTGTTTTGCTTTTTCGAGCTTTTAACGGCTCAGCTTTAGCTTCTTCGGTAAACGTCAACAAATTAATTCTGTCTGCTGAATAAAAAGCATTTGTTTCACTCGTTGTCAGTTTCAGCCTCCAGTTTGTGTTCAATCTCTTTCGTTTTTTTTGGCAACAAATATTCAAAGTTTCTGGTTAAATCAAAAGCTAAGAGTCTGATTTATTTGTGCTTGAGCGTGCGCCTGTGAGGTTTCTTCTGTCCCGATACTGGGTGACACATTTTACTCCAAAATATCTCTGCAATCTTCTCATTTCATTTTTCTTCTGTAACATTTTGTGCCCAGAAGCGGAGACAGAAAATGAGCTCCTCCATATAAAACCACCTAAATGTTTTAGGACGCTCTCTTCCTGTGAACAGTCAGTCTATATTTTTATTTTTATTTCCAAAAAGCCATTTGACTTGTCTGCGGACGCTTTGTCTGCTTCGTGTCCCTGTCCACAGGAGAGACAGTCCTCAAGCGTGATTAAAATTTGCTGCCAAACGTACCCTGGAGAACAAATTTATGACCAGACAAGAGAAAGCCTGAGCTGTTTAACCACAAAGACAAGATATTTGAAGCCAAGTTCATCTTTCAAGCCTAAGAACAATGAACTGACGAAGCACGGTGGGGGCAGTGTCATGTTGTGGTGCCTGCACATGACAAAGAAGCCCCTTTAAATTCTATTTCAACTCAAATCAACAGCTGAATGCTTAAAACTTGCACATTTGGACAATTATGCCAAATTAAACTTCTTCCAAAGCCTTGACCTCAGCCATGTTGATGATTTGTGGACAACACATTAAAGCAAGAAATCCACAAATTTTACCAAGAAGATCAAATATTATTTATTATATATGGGCAAATATTCAAACATAACTAATTAATACAAATAGCTTGCGGTTCTGGTGCAACTTGCTAACATTAAATCCCAATTATAGTTTGAGATTATGGCTGTATTTGAGTAAAAATCCACAATAAATTAAAATTTGTGCGCCCAGTTCTTGAAGTTGAATGTTTAATAACTCTTGTTTAGTAAAGAAATGCTTCAAACAAATCACTAAAGCTCGGTGGTCAGTCTTGTATTCCAGAGGTTGCAGGTTCGAGCCCAGGTTGCATGAGGAAGGCCATCCAGCGTAAAAAAAAATTACCGTATTTTTTGGACTATAAGGCGCATTTAAAATCCTTTAATTTTCTCAAAAATCAACAGCGAGATTTATAATCCAGTGCACCTTATGTATTAATTCTGGTTGTGCTTAATGACTTCAAACTGATTTTATGTGGTACAACTGACAATGTTGAGAGTTACTGCGAACGAGTTGAATAAAGTTTGACTTATCTGTTTTGGTTTTTTTTTGCTTAATGCGCCTTATAGTCCGAAAAATACGGTAATATTTTGTGCAACCACCTGAAGTGTCGAATGAAAGAAAAACATTAAAGCTCCGCAAGTCCTGTAAACAAACTTTTACATGTAAGACATTGCAGCCTTCTTTGACGGTTCTTGCCCGATGACCGTTTGAAGAACCGTCAGAACCGACTGAAACTCTTGGGCAACATGACGAGCGTCGTGCTCACTTTTTTTGGAGGTTCTGTCATCTGCTCCAAAACAAACAAGCCGACATCTCAACACCTCCACACGAGGTTTTACGGGACGTGTTGATGATGTGTTGCATGATAACTCCGGTGTGCGGGGGGTGAATGGTAAACACATCTGCCTCTGTAATCACACGAACAATGCATGATGGGAGGAAAGACAGCAGTCAGGGCACCTCACTTCCTGCTTATTGACCGGCGGTGCTGAACAGATCGGCTGGGTCTAATTTCAGTGATGTGTTATTTCCATCAGACGTCTAATGAAAAACTTTGTTATGGCGGGCGATAATGTTTTGCCTATATTTTTGCGCAGGAATCTTAGTCTGTTGGCAAAATATCTCATGAACCAGCAAACAGATGTAAGTGAAACTTTCA